CCAAAGGCCTCTCGTTCACCAGGAGACTTGCCTGAGCGTCTTAACAGCATGGCCATCTCAGGGGCCCAGGCGGGTAAGGGTGGAAGCTGCCAAGTCTCTCAGGGCCTAGGCTCTGGAACTCCCACAATATCCCGAGGCCCGAGCAGGTTGATTCACAGGAGTGGGGACATGGTCCCTAATTCTCACTGGGAGAAGCATATCATATTGCAAAGGGATTGGACACAGTATCAGTTAACTACTTCTGCATAACAAACCACCCCAAAAGTTAAAGGCCTAAGACTAATCTCCCACAGCCCATTCACCTCTCTCTAACTTGCATCATGTTGTCTTTAGTGGCATATGTAATTATTCCTCCTGTTTCTGCAGTTCATCCATTTGAAATGTCATGACAAAGTTAGGGTCAATGACTTGAGGAAAAAAGAAAACTACACTTCTTTCTCACTCTCAGAGTTCAAAAGCGGATGAATGCATTGAGGAATAGCTCCAGAAGTCAACTTGGGATAAGATGAAGAGAGGACATGTTTCATTAAGAAGAGGAGCCAGACTCAGAGGCGGGGCCTGGGGTCCTCCTTGCACCTGGAGCTTCCTTTGAAGTGAAGGAAATTGCTCCACCACGAGGAGGCGGAGGGAGGCAGACAGATGTGAGCACGGAATGTAAAACTAGTAAACACTCTGTACACACCCAGGGGGCAGTCAGCAGCGTAGGCTGACTAATAGTAGCTCCAGTTCGTTTTCTTGGCTTCTGGTATTTTACCTCACATTTGATGCTGAAGAAGTTCACAATTTAGACAACTTTAAAGTTCTTGGACTTATGATCTAAAGAGCAACTGGTCATTTTCCAGTACCTTCACCTCTGCTTCTCTGTTGTGGGGACTGATACTCTTAGAGAAGCACCCCCAAATCGTGTCATTTGCTTTAGTTACAAAGGTTAACCTAGGAGTCATTTCACAGAAGGAAGCATAGACAAAACGCAACAGAGGTAGAGACCCCAAAGGATGTGCGTTTCCAGAAGGATGTTGGAGCCTTTCCGGGGGCTGTTTCTGAGGTGAGACACTATGCCGAGAGGGCGCTGTTAGTCGCTCAGTCATGTCTGACTCTTTGTGACGCTATGGACTGTAGCCCACCAGGCTCCTTTGTCCATGGGATTTTCCAGGCAAGAATACTAGAGTGGGTTGCATCTCATAAGCCTTTGGATTAAGAATGGAAATCCCAGAAGCAGAAATTCTTTCCTGGGGAATGTGTTGGTGCAGGTGTACAAATGGAACAACCAGCGTTCCTAGGAAGGAAGAAGTTATCAAGGAGGCAGAATCCTTCAAACTGGCTGGGTGAGGTCTTTATGTTTGAACAATACACATTCATGTATTTTCACAAATGCGTATATGAGATCAGTTTAAATATAGGTGTGTGGCTGTGTGGGTGGTCTTTTTGCTTGTTTTCCTTTTTATTGACTTGGCGCCTCCTCTTCCCTTACATGCATATATATCAATTCCCAACCCACCCACCTACACAGATAACCGATATTAATAATCTAATATGTATCTTTCCTATATTTACTGATGACTGTATAGTCATATAAAAATGTATGCCTACACACACATGCACTTTCTGATCATTGACAAAACCAAAAAAATATTACCCTTCTTTTTCCTGCATTGTGCTTTACTCAGTCAATAATACTTTCTGAAACTTCCTGTCAACTAGCAGAACTCTGTCATTCTTTTTGATAGCAGTGTTGTTCGAACATAGGGCTCCCCTACCTATAGTTTATTCAATCACTCTCCTATTGCCAGAAACATTGTAGCTTTCAGAGACAATTTGCAAAAAAGAACTAAAACAATCCTCCCCTTCCAAAAAAACACTTAGGTTCTAGCAACTACATCTATTGGAGTGTTTCCCAGGAAGAAGATCGCTGGCCTGAAAAGTATGTGTATTTTAAATTTTAGTAGGTATTGCGGTACTTCTTCCCCAAGAGGCTATAGCATTTCTCATTCTGACCATGAAAGTGATCCCTTTCCTACAACCCTGCCAGCAAGAAGTGCTTCAGATCTTTTAAATTTTAGAAAATCTGGTAGGTGTAAAAATGATACCTCATCTTAATTTGCATTTCCCTCGCTTTGGGTGAACTTGAACATTTTCCGTGTTTCTTAGCCATTGGATTTGCTTTTCAACGAATTGCCCATTCATATTCTTTGCCCATTTTCCCACTTGTTTGTTCTCATTGGTCTTGTCAAATTACAATAAATATTTGTATACTATAAAAATGAAATATACTATCTACACAATATGTATTTCTGCAAGCCTACTATGGTCAATGATATTTTTACAATAGCTTTGCCTTAAAGTTATAATTTTAGAGTTAAATATGCCTACATTTTCTCTCATAGCATTTGACTTCTCAGTTTTGATCAGGAAAGTTTTCTGCACAATATAGTACATATAATCTAGATTTGTCTTGCAAGAGCTTTGCTTTACCTTTATATTTTTAGTGGTGTATTTTACTCATGTATTTGTACCTTTAGATACACAATAAAATTGGGATCAAATAAGGTACTTATCTGAATACAATGGCTTTCTAGAGAGTTCTAATAACTGGTGAGGAAGTCTCTGCCCCATGTTTAGTTTTCTAAAATTACTTACCTTTTCTTCAGTATTTCATTTTTTTTCTAGAAATGATATAATCATCTTATTTAATTGCCAAAGCCTAACAAACCAAAATACCCACCTTGCTGTGAGTTTTAGTGAAATACATACACAATTTGAGGGAATATTTTTATGGCATTGAGTCTTCTCATCCAAAAATATGGCATGTCTGTCCATTTCTCCTTTTACATACATATTTTAATATGATTTTGTTATTTCCTTTTTCTGTTGTATCTATTTCTAAGTATTCCAGAGGGGTTGATTTTGAATGTTTTTTTCCATTCCTATTTTATTACTAGAATAGAGAAAAGTTAATGATTTTTGTTTTTTGCATATTTTTGGATCTGTCTACTTTACAAAATTCTCTTCTTAAATCTAGGAGATTTTTACCAGATTCCTTTGGGTTTTCTAAGTTTACAGTCATATCATCTGCAAAAATAGATCATTTTTCCTCTTCTTTCCTAGTGTTTTCTCCAGTTTTCAAATTTGTTGCCATTAAGTTTTAAATTATATTCTCTTTTAATACTCTTGGTCATTGTAATATTTGATCTTTCTACTTTCTGATCTTTTATAATTTTGCTTTCTTTCTTTTAAAAAATTAGATTATCAAGTGGATAGAATTTTAATATAATAAGATTTTAAATTTATTTATATACTTTATTACTTTTCTCCTTTCTATTAAGATTTTACCTTTATTAATCATTCTTTATTGTTATTTTTCTAATTTCTTAGAATGTAGACTTATTTACTTCTCATCTTTATTCTTTCACAAGGAAGGCCTTTTGACTGTAAAATTTCTACAGCTCTGTGAAATTAGAGTAGAAAAATTGTACAGTCAAAAGACCTTCCTAGTGAAAGAAGGTCAGTAATTTCCCTTTTGATTTCTTCAAGTCAATTGTTTTCTAACTATTTCTTCATTTTCAAGAAGACAATTTTTGGTCATCTTTTGATAATTCTTTTCTTAGTAGCTGAATTAGGGTCAGATAATGTGACCTATTAAATCTTTATTTTTTGAATTTCTGAAGCTTTTTTTGTAGCCAGATATACGATCAGTCTTTATAAATGTTCTATAGACATATAAAAAGTAATAAAAATTATCTATATTTGAAATGTAGGGTATTCTCCAGTTATTGTGTGTGGAAGCAGTATGGCACATAGATTAAAAGCAAAGAATATGGGAAAATGTCTGCTTTCAATCTCAAACTTACCATATGACCTTGACTGTGTTTGTAAGATATAAATAATAATGGTATCTACCTCATAGGGTCTTTGAGAGAATTAAATTATTTAATATTCTTAAGTATTTAGAATAGAAATTAGCACATACCAAATGCTATATAATCAATTTTGTAAACAAAAAGTATTCATATATGTCAGTTCTTATATGTCCTCATTTCTTCTTTTCTACGGAATTGCCCAATACAGTCCAAAGAGATATATTGGGTTTATTTAAGCTTTTGCTGTTTTTAAGGATGGCTCTGTATCAAAACATTGTAAGTGAAAGTGTCTCAGTCATGTCTGACTCTTTGTTACCCCGTGGACTGTCCATGGAATTCTCCAGGCCAGAATATAGGAGTGGGTGACCTATCCCTTCTCCAAGGGATCTTCCTGACCCAGGAATCAAACCAGGGTCTCCTGCATTGCAGGCAGACTCTTTACCTACTGAACTATGAGGGAAGGCCTTATAAAAACATCATTCTGGTTCTATTTCAAATTTCAAATTATTAAAGTGATAGATTTTAAAATGTAATCCTTTTTTCTTCTTTAGATTTTCGATGCTCATTTTACTTCCTTGAATTTTTTCTTATATCTATTACTTATTTTTTACATTTGATGCACAATTTAAAATTTCTTTGCCTTTAATAAACTTAGTCTCAGTCTCATTCTTCCTTAATTAAGCTGCCTTTTCTCCCAAATCATATATAAGTAACCACTCTCCTTATACTTTAGAATGCTGGATTTCCTTCAGAGCAGTTCAGGCAAATTAAGTAGCCTGTATCATCAGATTGGATTACAGGTGTTTTCCCAAAATGACATTAAGTGTACTGAGTTCTGTAGTCAGTTCATTCTTAAAATTTCCAGTGTCCTTCATTTTTTGTGTAAGTCCAAGGTTTTGTCTCATATCATATTCCTTTTGCCTAAAGAAATCCCTTTAAAATTTCTTGTAGTTCATGTCTGTTAGTAATAAATGATCTAGGTCTTTGTTTTTCTGGAAAAAAGTCTCAATTTCCCTTCATATTTGCTATAGAATTGGGGATTGACAATTTTCCCCTTCTAGCATTTTAAAGATATTCCTCTGCAGCCTTAGGTTTTATTCCTTTCTCATGAGAAGTCTGATCTTTCTTGTCTTCCCTCCATAGACCTGAACCATGAGGAAGGCTTTCTCCTACCTTCTACTCCACCACTGTCAAATCCAATCATTGAAAACAGCTTACCAACAGGGGCCATTTCCAAAGGTAAGCAGAGGGCCAGGGCAGACTCCGAGCCAGAGACAGTATGTGTTTCAGGGGGTGCAGAGTCGTATAGTAGTAGTGCTCAGTCGTGTCCGACTCTTTGCAACCCCATGGACTGTAGCCCACCAGGCTCTTCTGTCCATGGGGATTCTCCAGGCAAGAACACTGGAGTGGGTTGCCATGCCCTCCTCCAGGGGATCTTCCCAACCCAGGGATCAAGCACACATACCTTGCATCTCCTGCATTGGAAGGCAGATTCTTTACCACTAACTCCACCTGGAAACCCAGGGGGTGGGTGAAGCTATTACCAGGCAGGAGAGAAGCAATGATTAGAACTCAGAGCAGGAGACCTTGTGCTCTATGTCAGAAAATGAAGCATTGCATTACCCTGGAAGGGGAGTTTAAGTGCACGGAAGAAGACGTCACTTCCCTCAGAGTTCTATACCTCCAAAGCGTCACCTTCCCAGGGTTCCTGCTCCGGCTTCTCTCTTTTCTTGGAAGAAGTAACCCATGACCTGCTATTTCCCACCCGAGAGCTTCAGGCCCATTCCAGACATGAACACAGATTTTCAGCCTTGGGGAATTAAATGAAAGAAAAATTAGTCTGTCTCTGCCTTTGGACTGATTTTTATAATTCATTTCTGGTGTAAGAAACAACAAATCCAGCTAGCCTAAGTACACCTTGGATATGAAGTATGCTCACATACCGTTTGGATCTTTAGGTTAAACTTGGCCTGAACCCCAGTACCACCTCCCACTAGAGTTCAGAGTCCTTGGTGTAATCTCTGAGGGTCCTGGGTTCCTTTGTCTTACGTCTCCCTCTCTCCAGCTCCTATATCCACATGGGCTCTGCTAGTTCTGCTTAAGTCTAGACGGTTCATCAGTTTGCCCCCAAACACTCCCATTACTTCAGTATGTGCGTATAAAAACTTTAATAACAGGTCACATTTCACTTGGTCTCCATTTATTTTTTCTTCAAACACTCTCCAGTTTAAGGAGGATGTCCTGGGCTTATGATAAGAGAACAAAGATGTCCACCAGCAGTGGTTGCTAGTATATTTTTAGTGGGAGGGTGAGTGAAAAGTAATATAAATTCTTTCCTAGGGAGAGTAGAGCAAACATCAGCAGCTCATCAGAAACTTGGAATGGACTTAGCCTCAAGTGATAAATTGCCCTCCCCCAAATTCATAGAACAACAAATGGATTTGAGCAGCTCCTCTGAATTCAGCACCACCACCTGTGAGAATTGTTAGTATGTGTGGTGGCCCCATGTTGCAGTGAATGGCCATCAGAAATAAATAACTTTCCATTTGTGAAAACACTGCCAAATATTCTAGGCAAATGTGATCGTCCATATAATTGGGATGATTTTCAAAATATTTAATAATCAGTACAGCAGAGGCATCAACCAATCTGGTTAGACTTGACCAATCATTAGAGATGTTAGGAGTAAGGACCCATTACAGCCTCATGGTGGACACCAGCTGAATACCTACCCTGCCTACAACTTAATAACAACTCTGCTAATTCATATCATTTTGTACCCAGATGCTTCCTTTCTCCTTCCCTTTCCAGACTATATTTAATTGGCCAGAAAAGTTTTATGGAAAAACATTTTGGCCAACCCAATACTTTATTCATTCATTCATCTATCCGTCTATTCAATAAAGACAAGAGTAAGCTCTTCCATGTGCTTTCCCAAACTTTCTCAGCTCCTGTCCCATTACTCCTTACACAGGTATATCCCTTAATTAAGTCCTTGCATGCTTAGCCTCATCCTGGCATCTGTTTCTCACAAGACCCAGACTGACTCCTAATGGTGGTGTCACAGTCACAGACAACAGAATAGTTTGTTATGTCTGAAGCCATCCCGGTATCACTATGGAGGGTAACTTCCTGTCCATTTTTGGGCATGCTCATTAACAGACCTTGATTACTGTCTCTCACTCTCTTCTTCTTCCCATCACACCAGCAGAATTCTACAGTTTCCCGATGAGGACCTACTTTTGCTTTTTTATGAAATCTCTTATGATCGCTTCCAGGGGAGGATAACAGTGCTAACAGAAGTCAGCCATTTAAGCAGGAGTGAAGAAAGTAGGTAGTATGCGGATGCTATAGAATGGGGTGATTTTGGAGAGGGCCTGGTAGAGCAGGGCAGGGAGAAATAATGGCAATCAGTTTAGAACATTTGGTTTTGAGAATACTGGTACCTGGAACAGACCTGTTGGTGAACTCTGGCATGTGGTTCCTGGTTCATTTATTCCAGAGAAGATGCTACCTTAAGATGGGTAGAGGATAGACTAAGAGAGTCACAGATCTTCTTCCAACTTCAAGTTTACAGGAGTTGGTGTGGGCAGTGTTCTCTTGTGGCAGAGATGAGGACATGCCCAACATAACGGCTGCCCCCTTTGCCAAAACCCTACAACAGCTTGACATTGAAGAATAAGCATCCTGAGGTCCACCTGGCTTGCTGCCCCACACACTCCAAAATCACAGCTGTGAGTTTATGGATGGGTAGACAGAATATGATCAGTGCTGATCCAGGTGCGGCCACATCACCGAGGAGGACTGGCCACGCTGGGGAGACACTTTAATGAGAGTCACCCAACACGGAGCTGGGAATACACCTGTGGCAGGACTCACCAAAGACATGCTTTCAGTCAGCCTCTGGGGCAACTCAGAGAAAGTGGGAGAAAGGACTGGAAGGGCAGCCTCTCCCTTGCCACATGGACCAGGCTGCTTCAGGGGGACAGGATGAGCTGGAAGGACCAGTCTAGCCATCCTAGGCTGATGGCCAGTACTGATATTGACACAGCTTCAAATTACAACAGGGCAAATGGGGAACTTAGTGTTCCAAGGCCTCTATTACCCAGGCTGGTTATTAACACTGCTTCTAGCTCTTAACTCTCCATAAATGTTCATGGAACTAAGCCGAATGGATCTGAAAATTAACTGGAGGCATCTTTCAGACACTCTCACACCCCAGAGAGAATGAGCTCCTGCTGCCTTACCTGTACTCTGGCCACTTGGCTGCAGTTGAGGTCAACATTTCCAGTGCAGGGTTAGATGGGCCACCCAGGGGTGGAGGACTCGAGGACAAGCTCACAGTGATAACAACTCCACATTCTCATAACTGCTGAGGGGGAGTAGGAGGGGACCCTATTCATTACTCTGTGATCATCTAAACTTCGACCGGAAGTGCAGCTTCTACGCCGGCCCTGGGAGGAGCAGCAGATCCTAGGGCCAGAGGTACCAGGGCCGGCCATGGAGATGCCTTTGTCCACGTCACCCGAGCCTGTCTGTGGCTCCACATTGTTGTGGCTTTATGGCCACAAGGAAGTGCCCTTACCTACTCCAGACACCTCATCGTGGCTTAGTGGCAGGTGCCCAGGGAAATTCAGCTCTAAGAAGGGCTGAAAAGAGAGGCAATCATCCAGGTGCATTGTCCAAGTTGAGAAGGAAAATCTTCACCTGCTTGTGATTTGAGAAAAAACAAACGAATTGCCCCTTGCTGAGATTCTGTTGGAAGATTAACAGCTATCTCTGCATTAATGGTAAGTGGTTTTCAAGATATTCTTTCTTATGTTTGACTTTGGAGAACTGAAGGACAGGATTCTTGGCAGTGAACGCCATTTTTGAGGACCTGCCCTCTCTTGGATGGAGGCAAAAGTTCATCGGGAAGGAAAACACTTCTCCATCTAGACAGCTGGCTTCTTCTGTGCTTATAACACCCGAAGGGACCAGCAGTATGCTTTGCCTCTTGTTTTTGCCTTTTCCACCCCATCTCTCATTGGGCCATTCTGGGTGTGTATCTATGACTCATTGTAGGTCACTAGTTATTGTGAATTTTTAACTTTATCAGGAAGAAGTTTGAAGAAGTTGGGCTCTTAGGCTTGGACAGAGCGCTCTATTAGACAACATAAAAGACAGCAATTATAAGGAGGTTTTGTGAAGAAAAGGATCATTTGGTCTTATTCACTGAGGATTGAATATACAGAAAGTAGAATTAAGTGGGACTTGAATTATGCAACACTGAAAGTCTATGAAGTTTAAGGTGGGGGTCTTTAATAAAGGTTTACTAACATTGTCAATTCCACTTGAAAGGAATTTCAATTCGTCTAAATAGCTACAGATGTTACTGTCACATGAGAGCACAGGTCTTTTTCAAGTTCTTCCCAAGGTACCAGCCAATCCTGACTGTGGGTGAGAAACTCCAAGACCACGTTTGAGGCGCAGTCTTTCCACCCACTCAAGACAAGACACATCTATGTTTGTGAAAATCATTAAGGTATAAGAAGATCCCCTGGAGAAGGAAATGGCAACCCACTCCAGTATTCTTGCCTGGAAAATCCCATGGACAGAGGTGCCTGGCGGGCTACAGTCCATGGGGACAGAAGAGCAGGACATGACGAAGTGACTAAACCACCACGACCAAGAAGACTCAGGTTCTCTGAAGCAAACCTAGAGGCACGATGGGTCCCTGTTCTCATGGGCCCCCTTTTTGACAAAGGGCCAGGGCAATGCCATGTGGGCCTGGGAAGGTCATGGGCGCTAAAATGGACCTGCACCCCAGTGGAAACACTGTCATTTACCAGTTGGGCGAACTTGGGCAGAAGTTTTTAACAACTTAAATCTTTTAAATGAGAAAAAGCAAGCCACCCTTCCTCTTTCCTGTAACTGTATGAATACCTGGCAATCTCCACCTTGGGTTTTAATCCTCTGTCTTTAACTCTGCTTCTTCATGGATGAGGAGTTCCTGAAAACTGAGATTCTTGTCGTCCTTGACAGTGACTAGAACATCAACAGTTTAATACGTTTTTTGAATATCTGAATGAATGAATCATGAAGGTCTAGGTTGTGGCATTACTGTGAAAATTAAGTGTAATAAAGTTAGTCTCCTTTCTAAAGTCCATAGGCTTAGACTCCTAGGAAAAGGAAGGGATCCTTCCAGGTGTAACCTAACAATGAGAATTCTTCATTTGTCCACTTGTTTTACAGTCATC